GAGATCGACGTCTTTGGTGACGTTTATGTTCGACCTGGGAATGAGTTGGCCGAGTCCCTTCATGTAAGTATTATGTATTTTTAATTCTTATGTTACACTTTCAATTTATATGCATTTTTGAATTTATATTTTATGTAATGTTAAACAGACGACGATGGTGGAGAGGAGCCAGTTGGTTCTTCAAGAGTCCGCCTCCCAACTTCCTCCCGAGACTCCGATCGAGTCTGTGGATCCTCCGCATGATGCTGGATTTCAGATTTTGACGCAGACGTTGGATCAGACTCTCGGGAGGAGGCCGGGAACGTATTGTAGGGGGATGGGGAATGCCCGACAGAGGGAACCTCGACCGCGGTCATCGTCGCAGGCAAACAGTCAGGTGACTGTTTTGACATCGCGGGTTGCCGAGCTTGAGGGTCAGATGTCGGTGATTCTGCAGTCGCTCGCGCGGTCCGGGATTCCAATCCCGAATTTTGGTGCGTCGACCTCCGAGCCCGTCCAGCCCGAGCATCCCCAGCACACCACGGCCCCTGCAGACGCCCATACCTCCGAGCCGCATGTGGCAGATGACCAATTAGATTTCGGAACATTATTTGATTAGTTTGTTATTTTTATAATTACTTTTACAATTTGTATACATTTATTTTATTTTATATAATAGATGTTTTCTTTACGATTAATTTTTTATTATTGTAATTTCATTTTAATTATAAAAAAAAACAACATTTATTTTTTTACAAAATTAAAAATCAAATAATAATAATTTTTTTTTAATAATATATATTGCTTTTGCGCGACGAAACGTAAATCGTCGCGCAAAAATATTTAAATATATCTTAATCTTGCGCGACGAGTAATTTCGTTGCGCAAGATGTGTATGCGCGACGAATAAGATGTCGTCGCTCAAGGTTCATGTACTTCGCGCGACGGACAATTCCGTCGCGCAGTTTTTTTTGCGACGACTTCTGTTTCGTCGCGCAAATATTTTTTCGACGGACAATGAAGGCGTCCGCAA